TATGTTTCAAAACAGTAGTGAATTTAAGGAAGTGTTGGATACACAATATAAATTATATATTAGAAATGGAGACACAGCAGGGGAAATGAATTTAACAATAGGCTTGGAAAATAGCACACCAGAAATACAATTAACTGATGGTAAAGTTACTTTATTAGGAAATTTAGAAATAACGCATGTTGATGTTTCAGGCTCACAGCGGGTATTAATAAATAATCCCGACACGGATGGGTTTATTAGATTAAGTAATAATAATTTATCAAGGTTAGATGCCACAAATACAGGTGTTGATGTATACGGTTTCTTTACTACAACTAATAACGCCGATATTGGAGGAAATTTAACATGTGTTGCTCTAACTGAAACATCAGACGCTAAAATACAAGAGAATATTCAAGAAGTAAATATTAAAGACTGTTATAAAGCAGTCAAATATATTAAACCAAAAACATACAATTTTATTAATGATGAAAGTAAAAAGAGTAATATAGGATTTATAGCAGACGATATTAAGGATGCTAAAATGCCCAAAGAATGGGATAACATCATATATTATAACGATGATGGAATGAAATTATTAGCATATAATAAAACATCAGTTGTATTGTGGGGGTGTGTTCAAGAGTTAATGAAAGAGGTAGAAGATTTAAAGAAGGAGGTAAGGAAGTTGAAAGGCGAAGCCTCGCCAAAACCAAAGGCAAAACCAAAAGCAAAAAGTAAAGATTAATTTTATCTAAATAAGAATATATGGGTTCTAAAACATCTAAATCATGTGCTACTGAAAATATGAAGCAAATAAAAGAATTAGATATTAATGAAAAACAAGAACAGATATGTTATTATTTAACACTTTAAAAGATGTTATTGAAAGAGTTGAAAAGTTAGAGGAAACAAAAAGCGATAAAATATACTATAAACTACCTGCTATAAATTTATGCAGTTATTCATTGATTTAATAATATTATTATCAAATAATATTATTAATCAATCACTAGTTTAGCATCAAATCGTTTATAAAACATATCATTAACATCCCCTTTCATTAAGTTAATAAATAAAAAACTGTATGGTTCTTCTGTTGCTATATTATACACTTCTAATAATAGTTTCTTTGCTTCTTGTAGGTTTTTAGTATCTGCTACACTGGATTTCTTAATTAATACGGCGCTTAATTCTTCAACCATTGTTTCTATTTCCTTATAATTCCTTAACCTGAAGAAGAATAACTGACGACTATTTACGCGAATGATAGGAGACAGCGCGTTAAACTTTTGTGTGCTTGTTATGATGTTAATACTGTTGTGTCTCCCGCGGACATACAACTGATTTAATAGCGGTGAGTTTCTTGAGAATGCCTTACTATCAGCAAAATCATCCACTATTATCAGTATTGAGAATAATTTATTGTGGTCGTTCTTCTTCTGGTATTCAATGACTTTATGCTGTCTTTTTATCACCGCTTCTAATTCTTCGGGGATATACGCATCAAATAGACACTTTTCTTTCTCTAAGTTAACCTTTAAATTATCCTGAATATATTTTTTAACTGGTAACCAATTACTATCCACTGAGATGGAGGGGGACCATATATATATTCTTTCAAAGACATCTCTGTAAATGTCTAGTATCATTGACTGTAACAGAATGCCTTTTCCTGAACCTGATGGACCTGTTATTATTTGTGAAAATGGTAATCGTGGTGCTATTTCATACTTAGATTGTTTAAAATCATATTCTTTAACATTAACTGGTTTGACTATAGGAGTAAGCATTATTATTATTACATAGAAGAATTATATGGTTTAAATATATAATGAATAAATACATAGAAGTAATAAATGAGATAGAGAAACTAGATTATGTCATAAAAACTCCAAGGTATAGAATGTGTTGTCACAGTCTGTTAGAGTTTCTTAAAGCAGTATGCTATTATATTAAGAATGTTAAAAAATCTAGTTAATGTAAATGAGCGATACATCAAATGACAGTGGAGGAAGAGATAAAGGTTTTCATATTGATAAAAAAGGCTTTCATTGTATACCTTGCCGTTGTAAAAGGCAGTTTTATCATAAGGAAACGAAGACAATTAAAGAAAACAATATAGTTACAACAGATACTGTTATTGATAAAAGAAATACTAAATTTGGTGGTAATGGGAGACATACAAGCCCGGACGATATTTTTAAAGATGAAAATGCATTACAGACAGGTAGCGTTGAAATATGCGATACAGGATGGGGCAAATCTCAGATTACCCCAGAAGAACTTGAAGAAAGGTTAGATAAATGTGAGACGGATATAATAGAAATTAAAAAGGATATTGAAGTCATAGCTAAACATGAGTTACATAAAATGGATTAAAAAGTAGAATATATTATACAATTGACAGAGTACAGCGCCCAGACCGAATTGGAAGAAGGAGAAGAATAACACCCCCTGCAGTCAAGTCCCCTTAATACCTACTGCATATTTATAGATGGACGAGAGAAAGGGGACGCCTCGCAGGGGCTCGCGAGCGTTCGCGACAGTATCTTGATACATCTGTATAATTTGATACACATAAGATGTATCAGCTAATTCGTTTGAAGCTTCATTAAATCTTAAGGAAATGCATAATTCATAACATTTCGTTATGTTATGAATTATTTTGTCACCTGATTATATAATGCTCGTTGTATTTGGTGAAACGCGAGAGGTTGAAGATAAACTATTAGAATGTAAGAGGTGCAAAAAGAAGTATCCGATGAATAACTTCTTAAATACTAATAACAAGTATTCAACAACGACTTGCAAGTATTGTAGAGACGATTTGAGAAAGGAAGGTGAGAGAATGAAGATACAACAAAGTGTTCAAATGCGTTAAAACTTTTAAAACGTTTATCTAAGTTTGTATATATGAGTGAGAGCGATGAAGTTGTTAAAAGCCCAATCAAGAAGTTAAAAGAAGAGGTTAAGAAGCTAGAGGAAACAGTAGCTAGATTAGTTGCGAGGGTAGATAATCTTGAGGAGAAGAAGAAAGGGAAGGAGAACCAAACACCTAATACAACTAGTTCAAACTATAACAACAAAAGGAATGCATACATTAATAAGTTAAATAACAAAGATATTTTAAACCCGAAGGAAGAAACAAAGAAGTATTACGAAGTGCAGTATGATGCGGAGAACGAGAAGTATTTTTAATGTATTTCAAGGAAAAAAGCATTTAAAGAAATAACGACTATATATATTAGTGTGAAAATGGTCAATCAACAAGAACAGGATGAAATAACAAATGACGATGTTGTCAAGGTTCATGATTACTTCAGGGAACTCAAGGAAGAGCGACGGAATTGTAAATGTAAAGATTGTAAGAAACACGAACGTTATTCCACTCTGTATGAATTGTCACTACCAGAAAATATTATTCATAATATTTACGGCTTTGTTTATTTTTGCCGTAGTTGTCAAAAACGCCAGTTCAAGAAGGAGAGGATAGAGGGAATTATCAGACGTAATATACTACACATATATGATGTAGATAGACTTATTTTCTCAACTAAACATGACTTTCCCAGTTATGACAGGGTTAAAAATAGTCTGTTCAAGAAATTGTCAACAAAAAGATATACAGTGTTCAAATGGATATATGAGGATTGGATGGATATTAAAAATATTAATATTCGTAGTAAGATAAACGATTTTGGTTTTAATCCAGATGTATTTATTAGGGACTTTAATAAAATTGTTGGAACTCTTATGAATAAACCTGAGTTTGTCTTAATGGATTAAAAAGAGGAATGAAGCAGAAAAACAGTAATTGAAAATATTTTTTGAAAAGATTTTGTTAATATTCCTTTATATTAACAAAACCTTGTATTATCTACTGCCCTCCAAGCCCCGAACACGAAGTTTCATGTAGCAGACGCGAACCACCCAAATTACCCTAAATTCTATCAACCCCCTCACGCCCATCCAGAAGATTACAATACATTATTGAATAATTTTGATAAAATGAATGAACCCCATCACGCCCATTGGAAAGATACGATTTTAGATAATTTTCCGGAAGAATTTTTATAAATGAAAGACCCGCTAATAATCAACGATAAAATTTAAGAAATTTGAGGAAAATTTAAAACGAGTGAGGCTAAACGATTTAAAAACGAATAAGGAGGATTGAAAAGAAAAAACGAATAAGACGAGATATAAATGAAAATGAATAAGGCTATATGACAAGATTTGATAGATTTTAAATTCGCTAAGATACAACAATATTTTTTGAGAAAAAATGTATTTTCAAAAAATGATGGAAAAATTGAGAAAAATAGATTTGGAAAATGGATAAGGTGCGATGCGTGTTTTTGGTGAAAAATGTGATAATGAAGAAGGCTATGAGTTAGGATGTGTGAAAAATGAGTGAAAAATGATGTATGGGCGTGGGGGGGGGTGTATGGATTGTTCCTATCTTCCAAGGGGCATGACCATAACTAACTTATTAAGGGTTCCCCCTATTTTGGGACACTGGGTGAGTTTTCAGGGTTTGTCTGTTTAGGTCTTTTTTCAGGTCCTATCCGATGCCTTTTCCGGGTCTTTTGCTGGTTTGATCGGCTTCAGACAGCTCCTGCATCATCACAGCATGCAACAATGAGGGTGGTTTAGGGTTTAGGGTGTAGGGTTTGGGGGCTTGGAAAGCACTATGGACATAGCAGGCGCCACATAGGCTCGATCCACCGACCTACCTGGTTCTTGCTTCGGCATTTTCACGTGGACTGCTCTGCGTCTTCTGCCATGCTCTCTGTCTGTTTTGTTTTTTTCCTCTCTCTCTCTCTCGCTCTCTCTCCCTCCCTCTCCCTCCTTGTCTTGATCTTGGGATGTTCCCCCTCATACTTGCAGTCCTTAATCGGGATTATAGCACCCCCCCCCCCCCCCATTAGAATACCTATTGAGGACTGTTAGTATAAGGGGGGAACATCCCAATCTTGATTGTTTGCCTTAGGCAGCAGCATGACCCGAACGTGTCCATGGGCCGCTACACTTTCGGCCGACTGCACCTCCTCTTGCGAGGCTTCAGATCTCATATGTTACGCTCTCCTTGCTGTTGATGAGACGCCTATTGAGAAGCCCTTGCGAGGAAGCTTCCGTTTTCCCTAGATCCTAGCAGCTCCTCGCAATGTCCGACTGGTGTACCTGCGGTGTGCAAGCCTGACCACCTAGGCATACCTAGGCGGTCGAGCCGCGTTAAGGAAGCCATAGCCTGATAGCCTAAGCCCGCACCAAACTCGTGGCATTCGGCTTCCAAACGGCCTTTGTAGAGTTCGGTGTTTGTCAGTTCGGATCTTGAGAGGGCCTCTTGGACGCAGGCTCCCCGGAGTATGAGCCTGCTGCCGTATCTCCGCACGCTTCGCTGGCACCCTTAGTGTACAAGCACTTCGAACTCCAGGCACGGGGGAGCGACGTCTCTTTTTTGTGAGCCCTCAAAAATTCTAGGGTTTAGGGCCTTTAGGGCCTTTAGGGTTAATGTAAAAAGGGCCTTTAGGGTTTAGGGGCCTAGGGCTGAAGGGTAAGGGATCCTTTGAGCTCCCTCGGGCAGGACATTGCTGGTCGACGTGTCTTCCTTTCAGAGGCACAGCTGGTGATCGCCGACCCTTTTGCTGAGACTCAGCAGTGGCACATGGATGCCGCGACGGGACGAGGAGCTGAGCGTCTGCAACGCACATGTGCGTGGCTAAAGCCTTATTAAATGTTTGCCAATTTCTATTTCTATCCCTGGAATATGTTGATTTGTATAAACTCTGTACCCGAAATACCCATTCTGGTTGAGTGTGCCCCTATGCTCGCGGGCTTTGACATGTGCATACTGCCTCTCTCTCTCTCTCTCGCTCGCTCGCTCGCTCTCTCTCTCTCTCTCGCTCTCTCTCTCGCTCTCGCGCTCGCTCGCTCTCTCTCTCTCTCTCTCTGTCTCTCTCTCTCTCTCTCTCTCTCTCTCTCTCTCTCTCTAGAAAAATACGCACATCAACACTCGTGCCCATTGTCATTTCATCGCTCGATCCGCCTCGATACGTTTGATCCCATCAGCAAGTGGGTCGTTTAGTTTGGACTATATTGCCGGGAGCTACCCCCGCCCCAAAAAACGAATTCACCTTGCTTCGGGCGGTTGTACGTGTATTATCACCCTCCCCTTTCAACAAATGGCTGTATCTGGGTCCCAGTGCAAAACGTCCATTTTTTGATCTTTTCTGAGCGGGTGGTGGGACCCTACTTGAAAGTTCATGGGCACTTATAAGTAGGTTTATAAGTCACCTTAAGTAAGGTTATAACCATGGTTACCCTGCTTACTCACTCTGCTTCTAGGGAATACGAACTGAGACCACCTGGAGGCCGGCCTTGGGGACAGGCTTGACAACCCAGAGCGGAGAAGAACAATACAAAACCAAAGCTTCTCCCAGTACTTTCTCAAGCCTTTCACAAGGCATCTTTACGTTACAGAACACAGCGCAGCATCATTTGCCGAGGTGTGTGTGTGTGTGTGTGATTTGGCATGGTTGGCCGGGGTTCGGATGGAACTGATTTGTTTCGATATGAATAGCGTGTAAGCTCGAAAGTACCTCTGAGGCGATCGAGTGGGTTGTGGTTCACCGAACCGATGCAATGCAGTCGCGTCGAGAAGGCTTGTCTGCGCATGCCTCCGGCAAAATAGGGGTCGCAACAATTACCAATAATCTTAGTTATACTAGAATAACCCCCAAAAGACGAACCCTGCATTTCTGCTCTGGCATCTCCGGATTCTCCGGGCGTTGAGGTTTAAAGGGTTTTCGGAAGCCAAGCTGCAATCCCACGCGCCCCACAACCGGCTTTTTCCGAAACGATGGTCAATTTCGGCACCGAATTATCTACTACGAATGGGGGTCTCATAATTGACCATCTAGGTTAGAGCAGCGCCCACATAACCCACCAGGACTCTCGGTCTTCCTTCCGCTAAGCCACGTGGCCCCGGACCGGGGTCCTCAAGAGGTGCTGCCAGGCACGCACGCCCTGCACGAGCCGGCGCTCAAGTTCAGAAGGCATGTTTGTAGGGTTTAGGGTTTAGATAGGGTCAAGGGGTTTAAGCAGAGCAACACGCAGAATAACTCAGCTACCCTTTAAAGGGGGACTTGCATGGTGATTGTACTGTTTCTTTTGCTGTTTTGTGTAAGGCACAGGCACAGGGTCATCAAAGAAGCCCCAACCCTAAACCTGCTGGCCAAGGACTACCACCGCAGCCTACAGCAGAGATTTCGGGACTGCTTCTGGGTTGCTGTCTAGGGTATGAAGTTCAGTTGTCCGAATAAGGATACCATGCTATATATATATATATATATGTGTGTGTATATCTAATAAATATAAATATAAATATATATATATACATATGTATATATATAGATGTATGTCCATGTCATGGTTGTTTAAGTTAAGTTCGTTGGCAACCCAGGCTTCCGCAGCCTCTGTGCCACGCACGGGGCGGTGCAGTCGGTGGCCGGAGAGCAGGCAGCTCGTTCAAAGAGGGCCTCAAGGGGTCACAAAGGGATTTTATTTTAAGAGTTAGGGGCAGTTCAGCTGTATAGGTGTTTAGGAGGAGATCCTTAAGTTAAAGGTTTAGAGGGGTTAGTTGGGCCTTCTTATCAGATGCTCCGGAGGCGTGCGGTTTTTGCCCAGAGCTTTGGGGGCTTTGCCACAGGGTCGTGGCTGTGAATCGTCTCGGTACCAAAATCGCAACACACTTGGTCATGCAGAAGGGCAGCTCCAGCTACGACTACGAACTCGAAACCGAAGGCGGCAGGGGAAACCGCCTGGATCCTTACAGTCCCGAGCGAGATGTAAGAGCTCACGGCTACCCATGCTGCAGTGAGATGCAAGAAGAACCCCAAGTTTCAGCCTCGTGCCAGAGCTTAAAGGGCTTGTTGGGGTCCTAAACCCGAAAAGTCGTAGATGTTTTATGGTAGTTATATGGTCCCTGAATATGGTCCCTTACCTCCTTTAACGGATTCTGAAGTGTGGGCCCCTTGGTTGTACATGGTCTCTATTTGGGGGGTCGATAAGGGGTCCCTTTTAAGGGCCCCAAGTAAGGGACCGTGTAACTACCCCAAGATAGATACCCCTAAACCCTAAACCCTAAACCCTAAACCCTAAACCCTAAACCCTAAACCCTAAACCCACCTCCGCGGGGGAGAGTGCGGGTTCCCGAAGCCACCAGGTTTGGTCAGCAGGGGATGCTCTCGTCATGGACGCTGGCCTCCTGCACCGAGGCGCCCCCCCCATACAGTAGCCCTAAACCCTAAACCCATGGGGCGCCCAGACCATGCCACCCTAAACCCTAAGCCCTAAGCCCTAAGCCCTAAACCCTAAACCCTAAACCCTAAACCCTAAACCCTAAACCCTAAACCCTAGCCCTAAACCCTGAAGAAGCTCTTGCAGCTCCCAAGCCCAAAGTGGAAAGGCCTGCCGAACGACAGCTTGGGTGCCCCGGTGCCCATGCTGGTCTTGAGATACGACTTGGTGGACAAGCCTCCCCCAGGCAGGAGATGGATTCGGGTTTAGGGTTTAGGGTTTAGTGTTTAGGGTTTAGGGGTTTCCGAAAATAGGGGAACTTGTTTTGGGGCGTCCCTGGGGCTTCTATTCTATTCAGGTGGGATAAAAGGGGTTCTGGGTTCTGCGTTCTTTTTGCGGGGGGGGGGGGGGGGTTTCGATTGCAAGAGGGCTAAACCCTAAACCCTAAACCCTAAACCCTAAACCCTAGACCCTAAACACTAAGCGAAGCCGAAGCTTTTGGGGGCCCCAGGTTGTCGACGAAGTTGGCTCCTGACCATGAGCCAAGTTGGGAGGAGCTTGTCGTCCGTTTTCCGGCTTTACGCTTGGATGTAGCTCAAACCCTAAACTCCCTAAACTCCCTAAACTCCCTACAATCCCTAAGCTCCCTAAGCTCCCTAAGCTCCCTAAACTCCCTAAACTCCCTAAGCTCCCTAAGCTCCCTAAGCTCCCTAAACTCCCTAAGCTCCCTAAGCTCCCTAAACCCTCAACCCTAGCTCGCCAGCAAGGGGCAAAAAAGACCGACTCTGAGTGAGCCGGGTCGGCGGTCCGCAGTGTCATCTCCGAGAACTACCGGTTTAGGGTTTAGGGTTTAGGGTGGTGAAGTATGAAGCCTGTTGCAAAAGGGTTTAGGGTTTAGGGTTTAGTGTTTAGGGTTTTGGGTCACAGGGACACAAGGGGACATGGCACGACATGGCCGCAGCTGCTTGTGCAGAGAGAGAGAGAGAGTACTTTGCAATTATACTCTAACAACCCCCCCAAAATCCCTATTCTAATGATTCAGGCCCCTATATAATGTTCCCTTGTGGTCCCTTTGTACTTATGCCATAACAACCCCCAAAATCCCTATTCTAATTCGTCAGGCCCCTATATTCGCCAAACGCGCACGTGCTGCCGCAAGTCGCCGGGGCTCAAACTCTGGGGCTTTGCCGCAGAACTCCTCGCAGCATGAACCAGGCCAACAAGGTGGCCCCACTTTGCTGTTCACACCCTGCCGCTTCTACTAATGACTTAAGAACCTGGAGAAAAAATTAAAAATATTCTTCCTTACTAAGGGTAATATCGGGATTATCATTTTTCTTTTGGGCTTCTAAAGCAAATAGTAGGCTTCTCTAGCCGAGCTGAGCTTGATTGATGCAGCGCCTATAACGCTAGAGGTAGCTCTGTAAACCCTAAAAAAACCCTAGAAAAGGGGTTTTGAGGGGAGAGATCCTTCCAGGACACGGCGCAGTATCAGACCCTCAAACGGATTCAGAAGACCTTCCTCGTGCGCTGCAATGTGCTGCCCTCGGTCGGCGAACACGTGAAAAGATAGGCATTATCAAATCATTTTTGAATACTTATTTATCTATTACTTATTAATCATTAATTATTCATGAATTATTCATTGATTTTAAGATGTATAAGCAGGCAATCCACGAGCCGTGCTTGTTGTCAGGGTTTCAGAGTGTCCCGCTCCGCAAGCATGTCAGTTGTCTTGCATATTCCGGAGTGGAGAGCGGAGCCTGTCTACTGTGACAGCCACTGGTTCTGCAATGACTCGTCACCCGTTCAGCCCGAGCAAAAGTGCTTTGCCACTTCCGGTTGCGCAGCATGTCACAGCCAGCATGCCTGCACAAGGGCCAGCGGCACATACTGAGGTTGCGGCTGCGGTTGTCCAAAGTTAGCTGTGTCCCTGCCGAGGTACCTACTACCCTGCATGCAAACGGTCTAGTCTTCAGCCCCTGATCCCAAACCAAAAAAACCTCCAAACAAGAAGTGACACCCGTAGGAGAGCTTCACCCGCCTCTCAGGAGTCGCTAACGAAGATTATCCCTGGTAGCGGGGTGAGGCCTGCAAGTCAAATCAGGCCGGGGGTACTGAAACCCTAAACCCTAAACTAGTCTGCAGTGTGTCCGAGAGAGGTCAGCGAGGCAGGTGGCACCTAAACCCTAAACCCTAAACCCACTGGTAGAATTCTTGGCGCCGAGCTTCCGGCTTTGAATGGTTTCCACGCTTGAAACTGGCAGCTGGGTATAGGCCTTTGGAGATATTTCTTCGTATGGTCTAATCATGGGTTTAGGGTTTAGGGTTTAGGGTTTAGGGATGTCGGAGGATCACATAGAGGTAGTTTTCGGCAGGTTTAAAGGGTCAACCTAAGCAGGGTCTGAGAGTCTGAGGCTCATCTGCGTGTCTTGACGTGAGTGCCATGAAATGGGGAGACTGGTTGAACCCTCCTAAACCCTAAACCCTAAACCCTAAACCCTAAACCACAGCAGGCACGCTATGCCAAACGAAGTACGACTGGTAGGGCACGTCAAGCCGCCAGGCGGCTGGAGAAGCAGCTGAAGCTGGGCCCCTGGAGGTAAAGGGTTTAGGGTTTAGGGTTTAGGGGGCTGGCACTGCTGTTGACATTTGCGGATGGATCAGGGCCTCACTGAAGTCCCCCCCTCAGGACATGTTAGCGAAGCCCGCGCGTCTGCTGGATTGCCAACCGATGGTCTGTTAGGGTTTAGGGTTTAGGGTTTAGGGTTTAGGCGTATATCCATGCCTGCAACGTGTGTCAACAGATTTGCAGCGTTAGCCGAGGGAGAAGCGAGAAGAACTTGGAAAGCTTGCAGAGCAGGAGTTGTTGCCGGAGCCCGAGTCGCCAATGGATCCAAGTACACCAAGGGTTTACGTTGATAGCGGGGTTTAGGGTTTATAAGGGTTTAGGGTTTAGGGTTTAGGAGGGCTGCCCTGTATTGCAACATTTGTGTTGACAAGCCCAACATAGCTGCGCAGCTTAGCCAGCCGAGGTTGGGCCATATGTCTGGTGCAAGGAGCGGGCTGCGAAACTGTGCTCAAAGCAGATGGGAATTTACTGACAGCATTGGTGTGAAGTAGGCACGCTTACTAGTCGGATATTGGCTACTTGCCACAGGATTTGTTGTTGCATCGCGCTTTTTGACTCTTGACCAATGCAGTGGCGTGTGCAGGAAGAAGGCGGCGGAACAGCAGGAGGTCGCGAACAAACGGGCCTAGCCCTCAGCACCCCTCCTTCAAAGGACTAAAAAAAACGACGAAACCGCTGTCCCGCGCCAGTCGCAAATGGCCGAGCAGATCAAGGAGATGGAGAGGCAGCCATTGTAGCAATATCTCGAAGGGTTATTATTGTGATCAGTATTATGGTGATTATGATTGCTATGATTGTTTTTATTATTATATTTATTATTACTATGATCATTTTTACGTAAAGAGTCTGGGTTCAAAACAGGGTTTAGGGTTTAGGGTTAGCATTCGATATGATCCCGTGAGGTTCGAGGACGCAGGATAAACAGGTGGTGGTAGCTTCAAAAATAGGATGAGGAAGCCTAAGCCCGACTCACTTGCAAGTCCATGCATGCATCCCTGATAAGATGGAAAGGTTTCATGCACATGATGACAGCATGTGAAATCGCTGGGCGTAGGATATATTCTAATCATTTCTAGTGTCTTAATATCTACGGATAACAGCCCGACATGACTGATCATGCCATGGCACGCGCACACACACACACCCACACACGCAGAGAGACTGATACAGAACATGTTCTTGGGTGGCACTTGGGTGGCAAGAAGTGGCCCCTGCCACGCGCGCACGCGAGAGTCGAAAGTCCTCTCCTAGCAAGACCCCACACATCCCCTTGCCCACGTCATCGTCGGGGTGCCAAGATCTGATTAAATGTAACGCTGTGGGTTGGGGATGTTTCATGATGTATCCCTGAATATTTGGAGCTGCACCCTAAACCCTAAACCCTAAATCCTAAACCCTATAAACCCTAAACCCTCAACCCTACACCCTCGTTCCCCAGCGGCCAGGCAGCTCAATGACCTGGAGCTGAGGTGAAACACTGCAGCGACGGGAAAGTCGATCCCAGCGAGCTTGGAGCAGAGCCGAATTGTCTTTCTGTTGGGTTTAGGGTTTGGGGTTTAGGGTTTAGGGTTTAGGGTTTAGGGTTCAGGGTTCAGGGTTCAGGGTTCAGGGTTCAGGGTTTAGGGTTTAGGGTTTAGGGTTTAGGGTTTAAGGTTTAGGGAGGGAATGAGGGAATGAGGTACCCTTTTCTCATCCCGCCTCATTCCCTCGTCCCCTCCTAACCAACAGGATCAAGGGTCTTTGGTGTTTTTGGTCTTCTTCGTGGATGGCTCCAAATCCGCTCCAACAGCGCTTCAGCTCTCTGATTGCCAGGTCTGCGCAAAAACGGGCGCGCTGGAGCCATGCTTTATGGCATGGTTTCTGATGACGCCTTAGGACGTTCGAGGCACGGGGCGCCCATATTTGCAGAACTAGTGGAGAGCCTGCTCCGCTCAACATAAAGAACATCCAACCTAGGGCCCCCCCGATGCCCCTCGCGATCCTAGATCCACACAACTGCCGACGGCATGCAGCAGATGAAGGCTTTCAGTCATATGCAGTCAGTGAATCCTAAGCCCTAAACCCTAAACCCTAGACCCTAGACCCTAGACCCTAAACCCTAAACCCTAAAGATTCCTAAGGTATTTGCAGATGAGAGAATGCCTTCTTCGCCTCCTCACAACCTGCCGGGGGTGTGTAGCGAAAATCGCTCCGCACACTTTAGATTCGGCAGAAAGGTGCTCAGGAGTTCCTAAGGATGACCATGGTCAAGAGGTTTTAGGGTTTAGGGTTTAGGGTTTTTGTTGCTGAGCTTTGCCGGTGGAAGACGCAACCATGTTGGTTTCACATTCCGGTCAAGCACCCTTACAGACTGGCACAGTCAAGGCAGCGTGAACTTGACAAACCATGGCATGTCTGGCTCGACGTCCTGCACGTAGCGGGGGGGCGGGGGGGGGCGGGGCGGGAACAAAATTGGCAGCAAGGTTTTTGGAGCTGTTGAGGTTTAGGTGCGTGCGCCCATTTGTGCGTGACATGCTGTGGCGTTTTGGCAAACGGGATGCACGCATCAAGCCAATGGATGCTTGCCGCAGTTATTTGGCCCAATTGGATCTCCGCCGGCAACGCTCAGAAGCGCAAGGAGCTGCTGATTGCATCCCGCAGGCGTAGCACATAGGGGTTTACGATTTTTGGGGGTACTTCCTTGCGGTCCTTATGAGAAGGGAATCCTACTGTTTGGATGTTAGGGGACCATTATTTTGGGAAACCTCGACCGGCCAATTGCTGCAGGAGATTCGGCAGAGGGGCTTTATTGGTTCCGAAGCGCCCCAGCTGCGTTTCATGCTGAAACCTAGACTTTGAAAAGCTTTCAATCCCAAAACACCCTTTAACCTCACTTTTTCAGCCCTAAACCCTAAACCCTAAACCCTAAACCGTAAACCGGCTCAGCATCACCCAGGATTTGGAGAGCGGGTCCAGCTCATGTCCTATGGCAGCTTGGTCCTCAGGTCCAGCCCATGTTCTCCAGCACCCAGGGTACGCCCCTTACTCTCTGGTTTAGGGTTCAGGGTTTAGGGTTTAAGGGGGGTTTAGGGTTCAGGGTTTAGGGTTTAAGGCCCAAATGGGCGCCCTCTTCAAACATAGGTTGCTCTTGGGTCTAGTTCTAGTTGCAGAAATCTCTGTACTTTGAAACCCTAAACCCTAAAACCACCAGTGACGTGCGCCAAGAGCCTCGCCCGCTTGTGTCACACTTGTGTCGAAAGCCTAACGTCCGAACCTTTGCACAAGCCATTTGGCTGAGTGATCCACATCCCCAGGGCTTAGGGTTTAAGGTTTAAGGTTTAGGGTTTAGGGTTTAGGGTTCAGGGTTTAGGGTTTAGGGTTTAGGGTTTAGGACAGCTGAGATCCCGACAAGAAGCCTCGAAGCGTTGACAAATAAGGCGCCCAAAGCCTTCCACGCATGAGCTGGACAGACATACCCTGAACTCCAAAACCCTATCATCATCCAGCAGACATATCCCCGAAAGCATGCGGGGTTTCCAAAAATCAAGATGTCCCCCAAGATGGGTGCCCGACTTTCGGGAAACTCCAATATCACCCTAAACCCTAAGTTTGGACACCCTAAACCCTAAACCCTAAACCCTAAACCCTAAACCCTAAACCCTAAACCCTAAACCCTAAACCCTAAACCCTAAACCCTAAACCCTAAACCCTAACCCCCCCCCCCCCCCCCCCCCCCCCCGAATATCACGCGAACTTTCGCGTGCATGATGAGCCATGCGCTGCCTATCTCCTCGCGAGGGCCACAGCTGCCGCGGAAGGCCAAGCCCGGGTTCAGGGCTTAGGTTTTGTTTAGGGGCTTTAGGGGCTTTAGGTGTTTTGGGGTTTAGGGTTTAGGGGTTTTAGGGTTTAGGGTTTAGGGGTTTTAGGGGTTTTATGGGCTTTAGGGGTTTTGGGGGTTTTTAGGGGTTTTAGGGGCTTTAGGGGCTTTAGGGGTTCTAGGGGTTCTAGGGGTTCTAGGGGGTTTGAGGGGTTTTGGGGGTTTCAGGGGCTTTAGGGGTTTTAGGGGTTCTAGGGGTTCTAGGGGTTTTAGGGGGTTTTAGGGGCTTTGGGGGTTTTAGGGGTTTTTAGGGGTTTTAGGGGTTTTAGGGGCTCTAGGGGTTCTAGGGGTTCTAGGGGTTCTAGGGGTTCTAGGGGTTCTAGGGGTTCTAGGGGTTCTAGGGGTTCTAGGGGTTCTAGGGGTTCTGGGGGTTCTAGGGGTTCTAGGGGTTTCGGGTTGAGGTTTACATGGCAAGGAATAAGCTTATGTCAGGTTGTGGGTTGAGCTTTTCAAAGGGCTTAGAGATGTTTCGAGTTCAAGGGTTTAAGTTTGAGGCCGGGGCTTGTCAGGCTTTGGTCGGTTAGTGGATTTGCTTTGAGGGTTGCTGGTTCTGGTTCAACATGTTCTTCTGCAAGTGCCTAGCCAAAGAAAGCCCCTGAAAGCCCCAAATCCCCAAGCTCCTCTAATCCCGCGAAGAATCTCTGAAGCCCTAAACCCGCCAACCCTATATGAACCCTACCAACCCTACCTAAACCCTACCAAAGCCCGTTACGTGCCCTAATATGGTTACAATTTGGGTGATAAGTACAGCTATAGCTGGTTATTAAGTACCCTGAACCCTAAACCCGAAACCCGAAACCCGATAAACCCTAAACCCTACCAACCCTACCAACCCTACCAACCCTACCAACCCTACCAACCCTACCAACCCTACCAACCCTACCAACCCTGCCAACCCTGCCAACCCTGCCAACCCTACCAACCCTACCAACCCTACCAACCCTGCCAAGCCTGCCAACCCTATCAACCCTACCGCGCCCCCGCGGTCGAATCCTTTTGGCGCCTTTTGGTGAAGGTCGAGGCCGCCGCGCTTTTGGCCTCGCTGTTCAGGAGCCTGGGGTTTAGAGGGTTTAGAGGGTTGAGAGGGTTTAGAGGGTTTTCAGGGTGTAGAGGGTTTAGAGGGTTTAGAGGGTTTAGAGGGTTCAGAGGGTTTAGAGGGTCTAGAGGGTTGAGAGGGTTGAGAGGGTTGAGAGGGTTTAGAGGGTTTAGAGGGTTAGAGGGTTTAGAGGGTTTAGAGAGTTAGAGGGTTTAGAGGGTTTAGAGGGTCTAGAGGGTTTAGAGGGTTTAGAGGGTTGAGAGGGTTGAGAGGGTTGAGAGGGTTGAGAGGGTTGAGAGGGTTGAGAGGGTTGAGAGGGTTTAGAGGGTTGGGAGGGTTTAGAGGGTTTAGAGGGTTTAGAGGGTTGAGAGGGTTGAGAGGGTCTAGAGGGTTCAGAGGGTTCAGAGGGTTTAGAGGGTTTAGAGGGTCTAGAGGGTCTAGAGGGTTCAGAGGGTTTAGAGGGTTTAGAGGGTTTAGAGGGTCTGGAGGGTTTAGAGGGTTCAGAGGGTTGAGAGGGTTGAGAGGGTTGAGAGGGTTTAGAGGGTTGAGAGGGTTGAGAGGGTTCAGAGGGTTTGGAGGGTTGAGAGGGTTGAGAGGGTTGAGAGGGTTTAGAGGGTTTAGAGGGTTGAGAGGGTTTAGAGGGTTAGAGGGTTAGAGGGTTTAGAGGGTTTAGAGAGTTAGAGGGTTTAGAGGGTTTCGAGGGTCTAGAGGGTTTAGAGGGTTTAGAGGGTTGAGAGGGTTGAGAGGGTTGAGAGGGTTGAGAGGGTTTAGAGGGTTTAGAGGGTTTAGAGGGTTGAGAGGGTTGGGAGGGTTGGGAGGGTTTAGAGGGTTTAGAGGGTTTAGAGGGTTGAGAGGGTCTAGAGGGTTCAGAGGGTTCAGAGGGTTAGAGGGTTTAGAGGGTCTAGAGGGTTTGGGTTACCTACCCCCCTTCAAGACCCCCTCCCTCAAGGACCCTATTATCTTTGTTTTTTTTTTTTTTTGGGGGGGGGGGGGGCCTGGAACGCTTACATGGGCTGTGGGGATTGGTTGGGGGCTTGGGCTTGACGTAGGGTTTTGGTTTTGGGGGGCATTTTAGGGTTTAGGGTTTAAGGTTTGTAGTCTGTTTGGGCTTGACTGCTAGATCAGGATTGTTGGTTGGGCACCTGGGTTCTTAGCATTTTCGAAAGGATGTGGGGAGGAGAGGCTGCCTAGGTTAAAGGCTGAAATTTTCTAAGCCTGAAACCTAAACCCTAAACCCCCCTAAACCCTAAACCCTAAACCCTAAACCCTAAGCCCTAAGCCCTAAGCCCTAAACCCTAAACCCTAAACCCTCTTAGCCCGAACCTGGGTGTCTCTGCAAGAGCTCTCGGTTGACCGATGGCCAGGGCACAAGGTCCCCCTTAATCCCTAGTTGCGCGCCAACCTGAAGTCCGAAAACCTCAACGCCGGATTTAGGGTTAAGGGTTTAGGGTTTAGGGTTTAGGGTTTAGGGTTTAGGGTTTAGGTTTAGGGTTCCTAGACCCAAAGCCCTGAGCCCCGTAAGCAGGTTGCAGGCCTGCTCCGAGCAGCTGCATGCATCTCTGATGGAAGCTTGGTCTTGAA